GCATAATTAAAACCGAAAACCGAAAACTGAAAACTGAAAATCATACGCCGCTTATGGTTAATCGAAAAGCCACGACTGCGTCGGACTTGGACTTGCACTTGGCCTTGCGGAGTCGAATGCTCCGCTCTGCTCCACTCCGTTTTGTGGGGCCGGGGGCCTTGAACCTCAATGTGCCGAATTGTGTGTTGTGGGGGCAGAAGTTTAGCGTTGAGCCAGCAGTATGTGCTTTTGGCTGGGTTTTTTTCGGCTGATGTTTTGTTGAACTTGCCGCAAGCGGCAAACAATAACAAAAAACATTGAGAGTTGTACAGCCGTACTGCCGTTCAGAATGCCAAGAAAACAACGTAGTTACCAACAAAATGACGCGGTCGCAGACCCACAAGATCCAAACGTGACTTGAGGTTAAAAACCATGTGTGTTTGTGGGTATCAACTTCATTGGCACGAAGCATCTGCTGTCGGATTTTTCATAGTCACTTTAATATCATTCACATAGCTCTTAGAACTAGTTTTTTTGTCGTAAGCAGAAGGCCTAGGGCCACCACCACCCCCAACCCCACCAACACCACATTTTAGACAAGGCTGTGATTGCCCAAGAGCACCCAACCAATATTTCAACAATTGGCCGAGGCATCGAGTGGATTTCTTTTGATTCGTCTAAGGTTGTTTCGGTGTTTGTTCTGTTCGATTTTTATCAAGTATACGCCTCGTAGGCCGCTTATCAGTTGGTCAAAGCAAACAAGATCACGGAATGCCATTCACAGCTTAGCCGATTGGCCAGATTACTGCGGCTTTGGCCAAATTTTATGACTCTAGAAGCCATTCGAGTTTTGAGCTTGCCGTAAATCATGCTGATGTATGGTTTGAGAATGAGGAAGTACGAGCAGGGGGCTCAGCAAATAGACTTCAAAATGCACAAAACAGAAGTTATTGTTAGGTACTTTTTGGCTTTAAGTGTAAATATGTGTGACAAGGATGAGGCTTAGTGCATTTAGATAATAGCAAGAATTTGAAAACATGTTTTTTAAACTGTTTGCTATCCAATTTTCAAGGCTTTTATAAAACTTAAAACTTCCGCCACGACTATGTTTCGTGTGCAAAATAAAATAAAGATAGCAAATTAAAATGAGGCTGAGTTTCTTAATGAATATTAAAAATGTGATATAATTAGGAAACATTGAAATAATATATTTGCGTTCTTGATCTTAGAAATGTCTATATATATGTACAATCTACTCTGATTAAAAGGTGGTTTAACATATAACATTTGTTAGTTTTTCCCCATTTAGCATGATAATATAGCGATTATTTCTATAACTATTAACATGACTTATTTGAGATAGGAACCGCAAAGACTGTGGCCTTGCGAAATAATGAAATATCACAGTTTTCCCCACTAATTGCACTTTAGACTTTGTCACCAAAGAGTTCAGCACTTCCCACTCCTGCACCTGTGCATCCTGCTTATCTGTAAGCTTGCGAAGCGAAATCCAACGGATACCCGCAGCAGCAGCAGCAGCAGCAGAGATGGCATCAGTGGGGGAAAATGGCAAGAAAAGCGAGCACTTTGGGTGCAAATACGCCGGCAACTAGTATCATCTGAGCGTGTGTGCGCGGACATAGACAATACCTAGTATATATTTTGAATGGTGCGCTTTGTATCGGCCTCCGAATGTGTCTAGAGCTTCAATAGCAGGCCAGGGTCATGCGACATGGGAGGAAAACTGAACTGAACTAGCGCGAAACTGAGCGAACTCGTGCGGTTGTATCTGTGTGTGTCAGAGTGTCAGCGTGTGCGTGTGTGCGTGTGTGTTTGTGCGGGGTCTATTGATATTCGAGGGTTTGATGGTATGCGTGTGCTGTGTACGTAGTGCCCGTTATCGGAAGAAAACGCCAAAAGCTCGCGTTCATTGCCTTTGCAAACGTTTTCGACCCGTCCCTCCCTGCCGCTCACTATCTCGCTCACTCTATCTCGCTCTCTCTAACTGCCCTCTCCCTCGCTCCGTATCACATTTAGATAGTTTTAGAAGAACTTAGTTTTGGTTTTACTAAAATGTTCTACCCACCAAGTTGGGATTATCTTTAATTTAGGAAAGAACACAGGCTTAACTGGCTTGTTCGGCAAATCCCACTTAGATTTTTGTACAGATATTTTTTTCCTTGTTTTGGTTTTATTTTTGGCAAATGGGAATGGGGAATGGCAATGTTTGGTGAGGTTGGTCAGGGATTCTGTTGCTCAGCGGCAAATGGAATAAATTTTCGGAAGTACGTATATTCAGGGCCCTCAGGTCAGGCAGCAATATTTATTGCCCCCTTCGAAGGCCGATCGCCTAACTTTGACTTGCAAATCTGAATAACTTTTTTATCTCGTTTTTTGGTTTACAAATGGAGTCGAAAAACGAAACGGATTGACATATACAATTTACAAAATCTTAATAAAATAGCAAAATATAATTTATTTGCTGCGGCTGGCGGTTTTATCGATCGCTTCTTCACTTTGTATCGAATTCACTTAATTGGTTAAAACCCAAACTGAACTCCTAACTGGGCCAGCGCTTTGGGCTGTGAAATTCTAGAAGGGCGAGCATTATCCAAAATCAAACGTGCAACAAGTTTTCTTGCCAAATTGAAATTCAGCGAATTCGTTTTTTCCTCTATTCTGGGATTAGTCATGCCCGCATTAAAAATAAATAAAAGGGAAGCAGGAAAATGTGAATGACCAAATATTTATTTCAGTTATTGCACTGTAATGTATTATAGAATTTTGTAGATTCAAATAATAAATCATGCTTAATAATTCAAATGAAGTTAAAATTAAAAATGTATTCTTGCTAAAAATGTTTGGAAGTGATTTGAAAATACATAGTACAAAGTTCACAAAAGCACATAATATTTCTTACATAATGCGTTTTCCTACAAGTTGGTTGCATATTTGTTAGCTACCACAACACAAAGTGCTAAAAAAGAATGGAAAACCATCTAAATATATAGGCAATTGAAAGTATTACATTCTATAGAAAGCAATTTGGTAAACAAAGCAAGCGTTTCGCACATTTCCTTTGAAAACATGTCAAATACTCGATATGTTAACAAAGAAGAGCTTTTATTAGTACTTTGCGACATTATATTTTAGGTAGTCCACAAAATGCTGCTGCAGATGCTAGTCCCTTTTGGTTAAAGGATACTTTGGCTGCAGCTCCGGACACTTTTCCCAACCATTTTCCCATTTTCCACCCCGATCTTCTTCCCCCAATCATTACCAACACTTTCACGAACTTTCAAGTATGTAGCTAGACATACATGCGTCTATGTGCAATGTATGTGCACCGATGACGAAATGAATAGAGAGCTTTTTTTGCGCCATTCGCTTCCTGCATTCGAGGCAACTCCGCTGGCGCGGCGAATGCAACGCTGCGTATGAGCGATCTGCTGATCGAAAGGAAAAGCAAGGTTCTGGAAATAGCCACTTACCATCTCGAGCAAAAGTAATCCAATTGGCGATATATCCATTATGTTCCGGCAGCAGCAGAAAAAAAATGTAATACTTTATTGCTTCAAGTTGTCTATCAGTTACTTTGCGATATAGCGCTTAAATCCTAAAATTCTTGTGTAAATATGTATAAACTTTCAGGCACTTTTCTTTATGGGGGGCGGGGGCGTGGTCAGGGGAGGGCGGGAAGAGCCGACCAAAGGCTGTCAGATGCCACCAGATATTTGGATTAATTAATTGACATTTGAATCATAATGTAAGGCCACTTAAAACAGCGAGATTTTTTCGCGCGATTTTTGCTGCTTCAGAACTCTTTGTAACGCATTTTATTTGTTTGATATTTTGGGATTGCACTTTTGATCGCTAGCAAAGCGTTTAATTAGCGACGCGACGGCGGCGACGACGGTGGGCGGAATAGTCGGGCGGGCGGGCGGTCGAGCAGGCGGTCGGTCGGTCGGTTGGCGCGAACGCTGCAGTTACAGTTACGTTTGAACAATTGATTTTTGTTGCTGGCTATTTTGTTTTGTTGCTTGGTTTTTGTTATGTGTGTTTGAAAAGCGAAGGTTTTCCTCTTCGCATTCGAATCGCTCGCATCTGAGTTGCGGGAAAATTTGCGACTGTCCGTTACAGCAGTCAAAAGACAACTAAACGGCGAACAAGCGTATTTTTGCGCACAGCCACTGCGCTGCACTGAGACCCGCTCACGCTCACGCACACCAGCGCACCTCATCGGCAACGCCAGAAACGCTCAAGTTCACGCTCTGAACTTCAAAGCTCGTGAGCGTAAGCGAGGCTAAGAGAGCGGAATGCAGTCGCAGCTGCAATTGCAGCGAGAGCGAAAGAGAGTAGCGGAGCTACAGTGCAGCCTCTGTACATATGTACTTCGGAACTTAATTCAAACAATAATTAATTCAAGGCCCACAAATATGCCTACTTTGCTTTGCGTTCGATTAACGTAAAATACATTGGAAATATATGCGGCGGAAGCTCACATAGTTGGTATTCTGCCATCACTAAAAAGTAAATGCTAGCTTATACTCTATATAAAATTATATAGAATTATATATATTAAATTATATATAAGTTGCTTGAAATCTGTTTTTTGCCTACTCATTATACCCGTCACTCTCAGAGTAAGAGGGTATACTAGATTCGTTGAAAGGTATGTAACAGCTTGAAGGAAGCGTTTCCGTCCATATAAAGTATATATATTCTTGAATCGGGATCAAAGATCTTATCTAGAAAATTGAAATTCCATCTATATGCTATCGATATGTTGAAATTAACGGGTATCTGGTAGTGCGTTCTCTCTTGTTTCCTTCTGTGCTCATCACTAGTACCGAACTGATTATGTTGGTCTACTCAGACCAACAGAAGATTTTTTGTGTTCGTCACACCAAGTTTATATTAAACATAACTTATGGCCTGAAGGAACTATTTACCATGTTTAAGTGTATTATAATTATTATATTAATATATTAATTTACCGAAATTAACCAAGATAATGCGTCCTTAGTGTGGCGTGATTATTAACCGGCTATTTATTGAAAAAACAAATGGGTACAAAAGTGAGACTTGAGGGGGAGTCTTTGATGGCTCCATTACACAAAAAATATACAAAGCGTGCCCAAAATTCAACAAGGATAAAGAATGGAACATGAGAGCTGTCAGCTGCTTGCCTATGTGGTCTTTAGCGATGTCGGAATCTTGGGCAAGCCGAACTCATCCGTTTCAATGGTGCTCTGTAAGAAATGAACCTGTTACTAAGCAATCGAACTATTTTCCATGTAAGCAGCTTTATACCTTTCCAGGGACGATGCTGTCAGCTCCCGGCTCTCGACTCGGCGCCTCCGGGGCCTTGACCACGTCATCCAAATAGCTGGTGTCATCGTCCAAGGCAATCTCATCCCCTAGGGCATCCAACTCGGCCTGCAGGTCGTCGTCATCCACCTCGGGCATGCCGTAGGTGCGGCCCAGTGCCTCCTGCACCTCGTCCGCTTGCTCAAACATATCGGCCATGTCGTCTTGGATGTCCTTCGAGCAAAAGTAAACAAATTAATTTATAAACTGATTTCTGTCATTAAGCAGCTAACTATGCTTACCTCGATCTGGTCGATGTTGATCTTCTTGTACTCGGTCTTCATCTGCTTGACTCCATCCTTCATGGCGGCCACGGTGGCCTGAGTATCCTTTAAGGATTGCGCCGCGTAGTTGGCCTGTTCCATGTTGAACGACTGGTTGCGCAGAGATTCCGCCTGCTGTTCGTAGCTGTGTAGTAAACAAATAAAGTTCGACGTGGTTTAAACAAGTTTTAGAAGAGGGCACAATAAGAAATAGATTGTTCCTGTGAATTCCATAGGAAACGGAAACAAAGATTAGCAAATGAAAATCTATGTATGTGCAGAATGTGAAAATCTAGAGCAAGCGACAATGGAGCTGTGGAGACGAATCAATACTGAAGCAGTGGGTGGGGCATTAAACGTACGCCTTCTTTTGTTTGAGCACCCTGAGGGCCTTCTGTTTCACTGAGTTCTTGGCAGGACCTTCTCGCATCTTGGACATTTGTTCGCGGTATTTACGCAGCTCCGCTTCCAGTTTACTGATCTTCTCTTCGATGTTTGTGGCTCGGGCATCTACCTGGTGTTTATAATAAATCTTTATTTGCTTTGTTTTTCCCATGATGTCGACACTTACCCCGGCGATGCAATCGTTTAGACTTGGACCCGGCTCCTTGGGCTTGCCACGACCAAAAAGGCGATTCATATTGATTGGTTTTTTATTCTTTGTACAAAGTGCAAAATGTATGGGGAATTTTCGGGTTTTCCAACTTATTTCGTTTTCAAAATTTTGTTTGATGACTAATTGTCTTCTTCTTTTTCTATACCAATCAGCTGTTTCGAGCAGTGATGCCCAACACGTTGTGCGTTGGGCAACACTGTTTCACAGTGTGCAGATTAACTTTGTTATTAAATTTAATTTATCAGCAATGTTTTTATTGTAATTTACTAATAACATTAATTCGTACTGAAGTATTTTTTTGTGTATCTGAATACACGTGTAGTATTTAACGTATAAGTTGCACTTTTTATAGCGGTTTTTACTTAACACGATCTTAGTATTTTTCGCTGGGTATTTTCATAACGCATGGTGTATTTTAGTGCCTTTTTGTGGCTCGCTGGTATTACTTAAAGGCCGCGCTGCGGTCCTACCATTCGCATTGCAAATTAAAAACAAAACGCATCGGCGGGCGCTTTTGAGCTCTTAACTTCGTTAATTTCCGCCAATTAGTCAATTCGTTGAATTGCCAAAAGCAAGTGCTGCGGTTTCATAAATCAGCAATGCGTCGTTCGAACAGATGAAAGTGAATTTCAGCCTACCGGGCAGTGCGGTTTTCAACCATTTTCAATAGATGGATAATAGAGTGCTAAAAATACACAACAACAACAATAAAATTGGCAAAGCTTGACCAAACAAAACTGCGTAAATAAGGCAGTAAAATAATATAGCAGCATATTGGCCAGAAATAGGTCGGCGAAAATCCAATAAATCCGCAGCTGGCCCTTTGACGTCACGGCCCATCAGCTGTTTGCCCACCGGAGCACCCCACTTTTACCGCTATGACGTGCAGAGTCGCCCACTGAGTACAGTAAACTCCCACGCTCTGCAATCAGCACAGTTATCCCCAATGGACAGTTCCATGTACTACGCAAGGCAGCGAATTGCGGCCTCCACAGAGGCTAATGTCAGGGTCATCACTTCGACCATGGCCTCATCTTTGGCCAACGGAACAGCGGTTCCACGCGCCGACGACGGGGGCGTCTCCATGAACAACTTTTACCCGGCGTTGGTTCAGTGCTTCGGCATCATCATTTGCGGGTTAGTAGAGATATTGGGGCACTACTTCTCACCTAGATAGCAGCGCCACGCATCCTCCCGATAAGATTACCCATTTATTTTAGCCCAAACACGAAACACCAGGTGGCTCATTTGCATGCCTTTGTTCGATCAGGTACAGGTTTTCAATGTACAGATAGCTTGCTTAGCAGTAGTTACAATATCGGTTGCCACATCCCACGAAAGATCCTAAGTCGAACGTCTTTCGCCTTATCGCAACGTGCGGTCAAGAAAAGATATGTTTGCACTCGTGTACTTGTACAGTGACCAGCACTTATGACGGACACCGTCTCGATTCGGTTTCAATTTCTTTGATTTGTTTTCCCCCACTTATCAACTGACACTCGAATTTTATAATCTATGGCAAACTGCTATCTCACTGTCTGTGCGTACTCCGATTCAATCGATTGATTCTTCAAACAAACGTAGCAGTTATCTAAAATCAGCTAAATTAACTTTTGTTAATTGTGGAAACGAAATGAACAAAAAGAGATTTATTTGCGTTCAATTTGGCGTGTCCGTCGGAGTAACTAAACTAAAATTCGCACTAAAACTTAATTCAATCTATTAAAGTAACGATTTTATTGTCAATTCCCAATTTAAGCGCTAAGATATTTCATAATCAAACATCTTGTTGAACAGCTTTTGTCTCTATTTCTTTTATTTGTGCTGCAGTTCTTTTAATTGCGGATGCATTGCGAAAGAATGTTAGAGCGTGAAAAAGGTTATTCAAATTACAAAATTTTCGATTAGTCATTGCAAGTCGCTAACTGATATTGTTTGATCATTCACCTGAAAAATCCAAACTTTTACAACCTTTTGTTCCGGCTATTTAATAGTGAATATCTATGCTGCCACTAGCTGCATTGTTTCGCAATGTTTACACACCTATTAATAGCAGTTATAATTAAAAGCGTTTCATAAATCTGAACTAATTCCCGCCGGTAGTGGCACTTTTCCTGGGAAATTGCCGTGAAGCACCTATTAAGTTTGACATACAAAAAATTGCTCAATAACAATGGGGAGCGGCATATGTAGATATGTAAATTTCCTAGGTCCTATATCAATCATTATACATGCATCTAAGCCGAAACTTAATTGCCAGTGGGCAATAATCGAAAGTAAAACGTTTAGAGAGTGCGAGAAAAACGCAAAAACTGACTAGAAACAATTACAAAAATGACCTTGCAACACAGCGTTTAGCATTACGCTGTAAACAGCTTCGAGCCACTCCACCTGAGGCAATATTTGCACCGTTTTTGTGTGGATTGTGTAACCGCAATTACCGATTTGTCTACCGACCACTGCCAATTACTGGCGATATGCATGCCCAGGCAAACACCCAACGCCCGGCAGATGCACCTCCTCCAACTGTTCAATCAGCCAACTACTGATATCGCCCATACAAACTCGACTACAAAGTCGGATGCGATTATATGTTACTTAACTGTTCTCCCGCCGCGTTCGTTGGCATCTGACTTCAGAATTTTCTGCAGCACTTGCTCAGTCGACTAGGCAATACCCTCCCTTTAGTCCTTATCTCTTAATGTAAATTTAATCTTACTTATTCGAGATCAACACTTATCTCTTACACCTATTTATAATTCAAAGTCGAGCTTAAATAATATTCTAATATTTTTTCAAGGTATGCAATAATTTAATTTCGAATAGTAAATATCGTTCTACAGTACTTCAACTTTCATAACGTTATAACTTTAAATTCCTTACAATTTTCTGATGAGTACAAATACCAAGTATTAGTAAACGTAAATCATATGCCCATGTCAATCTTCGCAAAAGTAAATAAAAACCCTTTTGACACGCTATAATCAAAGGGTAGCCAAGTGATGCATATAATTCCAGTTTTAAGTGCTGCTCGTAATGCAATTAAAGTTTGTTTACGATTGTTATCGCATTGAAATTATATGTAAACCTTTTTTGATGAATCTTCGTTGTGTGTGCTCGCTGTGAGAATTTGATTGACTTGCTGTGTGCATTTATATTTGCGATTTACGGTGGGAATAACCTGATAACCTGCCACCAATTAAGGGGCCATAAACACCTCATCTCGGTTTGGTTTCAACTGTATCAAATGCATTGATCGCATGCCTACTATGTGCAGGTCTATGTGTATGCTCTAATCTAGACATTCGCAGGTGTTTCTCCATTGGATTCTGGGCGAGAGTTGCCCAAAAGGTCGCAGTTGAACCGCAGTTTTACAAAACTAATGAACTTGTCATTTGTTTGGACACGTAAGATGAATAATAAAGTTTTACCTTATTTTCTTGGAGTATATAAACGATATTTACCCGGTTGACTAATTTGGGTTTCGTTTCTCTCCACTGAGTTTCTAGAGCACTTGTTTTGCTCGACAGATAAATGAGCGAGGTAAATGAGGAAAATGTTGTTGACGTTTTCTTTTCAGTCTAGTTTTTTGTTTATGTATAAAGTCTGTTGACAAGCCTTACTCACAAAGAACACTTGTTAAAACATGTGGTTCAGACCCAAGGGAATGTGCAAGTGAAAACCCATATAGCGCTTTCATTCATTTTTACCAAGTAATTCACTGATTTCTTACTTATAAATATAAACGGAATTTCTTAAGAGAAGATCGTGAATTTCTCTATTTTTGCTCAATAATGAAAATATAATTTCATCTTTGTTTAGACACACTTATTATCAGTCATGTCCCGCTAAATAAAACATAGATAATGTCTACAAGTGTTTCACATTCCTAGGAAAAAGCATTCTCACGAGACCTATGACACTCGGCGCTTTGCAGAGTTCTGCCAATATTGGCAAGTGCAGTCTCGCAAATAATAAATAATAGATTTCTAGGTTTTCCCCAGAGCATGCTGGTTGAGTCATAAGGAAAGATCACTAAACTTGTTCGTTTAACGCAGGGGAAGTACTCCCTACTCCAGATTACCAGACAAATTAATTTGTCTCGTCGAATGTGACAGAAATACAGATACTCGCTGAAAAATAAAAACGTTTACAAATCTTTGTTAGTCCGAAATAAAACTGGTTTACGAGGGGATCACGTGTGGCTGCGGTGAATGTGTTTTATATGCATGTAGAGTACCCTGTACATATTAATTAAGAGTTTCCGCCTTTCCGACTGGCTGGGTTATTAGCATTATAAATAAACGCATTTCGATCAGGTGGGCGTGGCCCGACCCGCCTTTACAACCTGATTACTGCTGTAATGTTCTCTTTTTATCCGCTCCTTGTTGCAGTTACATTGCCGGACGCTTCAAGATCATCAGCAATGCGGAAACCAAGGGTCTGGGCACGTTCGTGGGCACCTTCGCCCTGCCCTCGCTGATCTTCCTGTCCCTGGTGGAGCTCAACTGGAGCGCTGTGAACTGGAGTTTCCTCCTGGCCATGCTCGTCTCCAAGGCGGTGGTCTTTTTCGCCGTGCTGATCATCTCGCTGCTGGTTGCCAGGCCCCTGAACTACGCTCGCGGTGGCTTGATGGCTATATTCTGCACCCAGAGCAATGACTTCGCTATCGGCTATCCCATAGGTGAGTTGATGCCGGAGAAACCTCGATACTTTATCCAAAATTCATTTCAATTCCATCTAACAACGCTTCCTTTTTCCTTTAGTTATGGCTCTCTATAAGGATGTGCACCCGGAATATGCCTCTTATCTGTACCTGATGGCTCCGATCTCACTGGCTATTCTGAATCCAGTTGGTCTGATCCTCATGGAAATCTCTAAGATCATTAAAAATAAGGAGGATGTGGTTCGTGTTTGATTAAATCCCTCTCTCTCCAAATATACCATAACTTCTTATCCTTCGTAGACCCGCAATCCACCACTGTGCCCAGAAACTTGTCCCGCGGAGCAGATGTCCAAGCGGAATCGCTGCCTGGGTGAACGGACTATTCTGGTTTTTAACACCCTTGTTGCCCTGTTCTTCAACCCATTATTGCTGATGACCTTGCTGGGTGTTGCAGGAGGTTTCCTGTTTCCCCACGGCCTGCCCGAAATGGTGTCCAGTACGTTGCGGGTTCTTGGCCAGAGCTTCTCGGCAACAGCATTGTTCCTACTTGGTCTGAAGATCGTTGGGGGGACAGGATCCGAACGAAAGAGTACAGGGTTTCTATTGCCAGGTGTTCTTATACTGGTTAAAATGTAAGTTTCCCGCTAGCTATGTATTTATTCAAAAGATT